CAGCACGGTGCCCCTGCCAAGGAAAAGCCACATCTGGCCAGAGTACTGCTCGAGAGCTCTGAGAAAGCTGAAAGCCACTCCTGCCAGCCCCTCTGAGGGCTTCATCCAACTCATGGAAAGCTTGCTGGAGCTACAAGACATTTTAGAAGCTTCCTGGGGGGTTGGAAACAAACATCCCCCAGAGAAGTGCACCTGGCACTTTTCTGAAAGCCGGAGCCGCCTCTGCATGGGCTCCCAGAAGCTGCTGTCAAGCTGTCAGCATGTTATCAAAATAGATCAGTCCCCTGAAGAGAGGCAGGGGGCTGTTCGTGACACTTTCCAGCACCTGGTCCAGCTGGCCGGCCTGTGCTTTCAGTTCACAGACTGCAGCCACTGCTCTGCCCGGCACAGGGAAGCAGCCAGGAACCTCAGGGATGTGGTGTACACCTACCACCAGTTTGTAGAGGCCGCTAAATTGACCTGCGAGCGAGGCTACCATGACCTGAGTGTGAAACTCCTGGCTCGCCAGTGCACGGCCCTCACAGCTGCCGTGTTCTGTTTGACCCAGAAGTTCCGGGCGTCCACTGCCCTGTGAGCAGGTCAACTGCCCATGGGCCCCCTGCCCTGCCCTTCCTTGGACACTTCCCTGAGAAGCCTCTTCCATTCCCCACCCAACCCTTTCAAATGTTTACTATATATTCAAATAAACTGCTGCTTAGACTTGGCCTGAATCATACAGAGTGATAAGTTTAAGTCAAAAGCATTCATTCATATTCATTCAACAAACATTCACTGGATACTTCCTTTGTGCCGGGCCTTGTGCTAGGAGCTTAGGATTTATAGATGAGTAAGACACGTCCCTGCAACTGATCAGGACGTTCACACACCCTCTGGGGTGCAGAGTAGCAGATCATCATCAGTAAAGTATGTAGCATAAGAGGAGCATATCCAGGGGTATAAAAGTAAAAGTCACAAACTTTGTCCCAAGAAGGCAGGGATGAGGAAGGAAGGTGGGGGGTCACTGAAAAACACATTCTTGACTTGCCATATGACACTGTTGTGGCAATAACCTTCACAAATAGGAGTGTATACATGTGATATTTGATAGATTCTACCTGCACAGTTAGAGTTTGCAGCTCCTGCACCAGGCCTGGTATTCTTGCTGCAGCAAGCATAGATTGCCACTAGGTGACAGTAAATTCCTTACTAGCATGGCTACTCACATATAGGTGTGTTCTGTGCTTAATTTGACTGCATTCCTGAATCTTGCACCCTATTTATCTTAAATACATAGAAATCAAAATTGATATTAGACTAATTATAAAAAAGATAAAAAAATAAATATACGAAAAGTCAAACATTAAAGCCCTGAATTAGATTTGCCTTTTCTAGAATATCAGAGAAAAAAATATATATTGGGTACCTTTCTAATCCCAATTAGCCAGTTAATCTTGGTGCACCTTGAACAAGCTACTTACCCTGTCAGTGCTTTTGTTTTCTCTTTTACAAATTGGAATACTAATAGTGTCCACTTTATGGGATGGAAATCTAGTAAATACTCAGTAAATGTTAGTAATAACCTTTATGGATGCCTCTCCTACTCTACAACCCTTCCCTGAATTTTGCTTTCTGATTCCAGGGAAACTGATTTCAAGAACCTATAATATCCCTTTTCCTCTGACTTTTCTGTCCAGGCCAAAGATGGTTTAGTTGTTCACCTCAGGCTACTAGAGTTCATTAAAGATGTCCCTTTGTCCCTCTGCTGCCCCTGAGCTGTGGTGAGCTCAGTGTTGCCCCTGTGGCTCTTTTCCTCTGGGGCTTCCTAATTCCTCCCCTTGACACAGCAAATGCAAGAACAGAGAGGAGAGTGCTAAATTATGTACATAAGCTCTCTCCAATCAGAAGGAAATAAATACTTGGGAGAAGAGGGGAAAAGAAATTCTTCTCCATCCCCCGTCACCAGTTACTTGTTAACTAGTAACCTTTTCTCAGAGGCAGTTTATTTTCGCAGAATACTTTGAGTAAAATTTAAATAAGGCTCTTGAACACAGATATGAAGTGATTTCATGGCAGTGAAAAATGGGAACAGTAGGGCACCAAAATAACAAAAATTGTAGATGTTAAACAGGCTTGAAACTTTTGCAGGCAGAAAGCTATAAGGGGCTAAATAGCTTATGTGAACACAATCTATATGTCCACCAATTTAGGCAAGGAGCTCAGGACTTGAATCCTAGCTGTGGCCTATCAGGCACTACTCAGGGCCTCAGTTTCCCCATCTGACATAAGGAAATAACACTTGTCTCCATTTAATGAGAGCCTACAATGTGCCAGATGCCTTATTTAGATACCTTGAATACATTTTCTTAACCACCACCTTAGAGATTGTTATATATATATACAGCATAATTGTGAGAAAATCATGGAAGGCAGGACGAAGATTGAAGCCTCCAGCTCAGGCGCTCAATGTTTGTTTCCTTTTCCTTTGCTTTCCCTCCCCTCAACTTCATTAACTTTCTTGGACTACCACTATATGCAGTTGGTATTTTTCTCTGCAGTTCCCATGAGGAAGGAGAGGACAAAGTCCCAGAAATGCTGGGAAACCCATCACTGCTTGTCGAGAAGCCAAAGAAGCTGGGGAAGTTGTGCTGTTTAGCACTTTCTTTGAGTCTTGCAGCCCATTTCCCACATGAAATAGGCAGGATGGGGCTGCCTACCCAGCAATGCAAGAGTGCATTGTGTAATGACTAAGGAACTACTGGACACTTACACCCCTCCTTCCTTCTCCCACCCACCATCACATTGGCTGATTCATTTCTTCAAGCAAAGATTTTATGGCATACTCATGTCAGGTGATGCCTGATGCAGGATTGTGGATATAAATAATTGGGTTAGAATCATCCTATTTTCAAGAGCTCCTGGTGGAGATTAAGATGATACATAGAGATAGAGACAACATAAGGCACTGTGTGCTTAGGGCCACCAAGGAGAACAGATAAGGTGCTGTAAGAACTCTAAGGAGCGAGCATTCATTTTGGGGTGAGGGGCAGAATAGTATTCAGGGAAGCCTTCCTGTAGGAGGCAACATTAATTAGAACCAGTATGTCCAGAAGTATTGAATATCTACTATGTGTCAGGCCCTGGGTTTGACAGATAGTATTTACATGTGATGTGTCAAGAAAGGAGAAAAATCATTCTTTCAACAAATATTTACTATGCAATGGCATTGGGGATACAACCATGAACATGGCAGACATAATCTCCTCAAAGTACTTATAATTAGTAGGGAAGACACAGAAAAAGAATTATTGAGAGGTGATATAAAGAAAACAAAGAAGATGCCAAGACAGGGATGGGATGAGTCAATCTTACCTAGGTTGGTCAGGAAAGGCCTTTCTGAAGAGGGAATGCTTAAGCTGAAACCTAAAGTATAAGGAGCCATCCATGGAAAAGGTGAGAGGAGAGGGACTAGTATCTGCAAAGGCTCTTGGTGTGTTTGAAGCATTTCAAGAAGACCACTGTAACCTGAACATATGATAGCAACGTGGAGGAAGAGTGATAGGTGATGAAGTTGGAGGAGCAGGCAGGAACCAGGTTGTACAAGGCCTTAGGAAGGGGATTAGATTTTATAGCAGGAGAGACACATATCATCTGGCAAATGGCTGGGGTTAGCATGAGGGAAAGCAACAAGACCAGCTAGAAGGACTTTTCCTTCCATGGGAAAATGGCCATGAGCTTATTCAGAGGCAAAGGGATGTGAGCAATTCATTAATTATAGGCTAAACAAGGAGAAGAATATTCATATTATTTCTTAGAAAAAGAAGGTATTTTCCTGAAATTAGGGTGATGTCCTCCTTTTGACTAAATATGGTCAAACCAGAAGTGTCATGGTGTCAGGTGCATAATTGGAGTGGGAGGTTTCCTTAGAAATTTTTATGGTAATGAGGGTGCAATGAAGCTGTAAGGTCAAGAAGCAATTGATTTCTCTGCCATCTTGGTTCTAACCAGTTGGAACTTGTCCTGCCTTCATCTTATTTTGATCAGGGTAGTTTGAAACCTGGATTTGAGACTTCCTGCGTCAGTTAAGCAATGCCTGCCCAATTAAGCAATGCCTAAAGCAATACCTGAAGCCGTTGCCAGTTCCCTGTCCCAGTTGAAGATCACTTGACAATTTGCTGAGGCATTTCAGCAGGCAGTGGGAGCCAGGACCAGCTTCTGAGCAGAGAAGAGATATTAGAGCTGGATTTTAGAAAAAGCCTTATGGGGGAAAATGAATGATTAGTATTAGCATTTAAAAGTAGCCCTGGCAGTATATTAAAGGATGGATTTAAGCATAGACTGGGGACAGGTGGTAGGTGCTGGAGGAGCTCTGGAAAGAAAAGTCCAGAGGGGGAAATTGTGGGGCCAGGGAAGGATTTAATCAAGCTGTGGTTTCTTGAGGGAGCTCACTCATGGGTCTCTCTGAAAGAGTGAGACCCCTAGGGAAGGGTGGCTGCTAATCAGGCCAAAGCATGGGCAAGTCTTTTCACGTTTCTGAGTCTCTGTTCTTCACTGATATATGAGAGAAGATGGAGGAAGGAGAGTGGCCAGGGGCTAGAATCATTGCTTGCCAAACCCCTGACATTTCTGTTGTGAGCCTGAGTAGCCAAAGTAGCTGGGACAGCGCTGTGTGCTCAGGAAAGGGCCATGTTACCTCGTGGGCCCTTCTGGTTGTGGGAAAGCCCGGGGAAGGCCAAGAACTCCAGACGCCGGGATGATGGGAGTTGTGTTCAAGTCTTTGTTTCACACCAGTTTCGAAATGTCCAGACCTTGGCAGCCAACAAAGCGCCTGGCCACCTGCAGAAACTCTGTGAGGTCAGCAAGGGGGTTGTACTCGCCATGTTAACAGACCGGGAGACAGGCTGAGTTAAGCTCGCCAACATTGCCTGCCGGACGCAGCCCCTGAGCTGTACCACTGGGCATAGAAGCCGCCTCCGCTCTGAGCCCTACTCCGAGCTGCCTGCGGGTGAAAACTACAATTCCCAGGATGCCATTCGGAACGGGGTCAGGAACCGGAAGTGAGGCCGGAGGCGGAACCAGGTGCGCGCCGCTGCGTGTGGTGACGGGAACAGGTACGCCTGAGGCTCGGTTAGGGCCTGGTTGGGGGCTGCGGGGTCCTGCTGGGGACAGTCGTCTCGCTCACGGGCGGGGCAGACGCCGGGAAAGCAGCGTTGAACAGTCATGTGGCCTGTGATGCCCTACCTTCTTAGTGCTTTCCCTTCCTGCCTCCCGCGCACTGGCAGCCTGTGGGCCAGCGGCACCTGCGGGCGGGTACTCTCGGTCCTTGAGTCTAGGCGTTCTAGTGCTGAAGGTGTCAAGGGAATGGAGCCAGCCTTGGCGGGCTACAACTTGGAATGAGGAAATAAGAGAAGTGTGCAAACAGGCTGGTTCATCATTTAGCGCCTGTGTATGCGCTCATCAGGTGGGACTTGGGCTGTAAAAAGTCTGAGGCCTTTGTCAGCGCGGGTAGGGGCTCGAGGATTTATTAATTCAGCCGGTATTTATTAAGTGTCTATAAGAGAACACTTGCTTACATTTTAGGGATGGAGAAGGTTCAGACAAAAAAATATAGGTCAAGCAAGTGAAAAGGCCCTGAGGTGGGAATATCCTTGGCATTTTTGAGGAACAGCAGGTAGACCAGAGAGTGCCGAGAAAAACGGAGGAGGTAGATCTTTAGGGTCTGTAGAGGCCATTTGGGCTATTTACTGTAAGTGAAATGGAGACTACTGAACACCTACGATGTGCACAGTGAGGCTCAATACTGAGGATGTACAGTTGAATTCTCCATCCTCTCTTCCCTGAAGGATTTATAATCTAGTGGTGAAACATAGGCAAACCAGTTGTCATGCAAGGTTGAATCAGATCATTGGAGCCCCATGAAAGCAGGAAAATGTCATCCCCAAATCCTTAGCATGTACTATTATGCCAGGTGCTTAATAACTTTGTCAAATGACTAAATATTTTAATTAGCCCTGATACTTAGCACTGGACCTGTAATGGAGACTTAGAAAAGATTTTTGAATGAAGAAGTGAAATGCTAAATCTGAGCTTAGATAATGTCATACACAGATTCAGCAAATCTGTGGCTCTGTGATGGCCAACTCCACCTTTGCTTTCTGAGGCTCCCTAGGTGGCAAGCTGCTGTTCAGCATTTACCGAGCTTCCATTCTATGCCAGACCTTAAGCCAGTCACCAAAAGATAACAATGATAAAAAACGGTGGCCTCTGCCTCAAGGAGGCAGTCTGCTATATTACAGACTCTTCTGATAGTGGGAGTTGTCTTTGATTTTTTTTTTTTTGAGACAGAGTCTCGCTTTTGTTGCCCAGGCTAGAGTGAGTGCTGTGGCGTCAGCCTAGCTCACAGCAACCTCAAACTCCTGGGCTCAAGCAATCCTGCTACCTCAGCCTCCTGAGTAGGTGGGACTACAGGCATGCCCCACCATGCCCGGCTAATTTTTTCTATATATATTAGTTGGCCAATTAATTTCTTTCTATTTATAGTAGAGGTGGGATCTCGCTCTTGCTCAGGCTGGTTTCGAACTCCTGACCTCGAGCAATCTGCCCGCCTCGGCCTCCCAGAATGCTAGGATTACAGGCGTGAGCCACCACACCTGGCCTGATTTTCAAGATTATTGCATCCCAAGTTCCTGGTCTAAGAAACATTTCAGGGACTGTAGGAATTTGGGAAAGCATGCGGTAAAAGGAGGGGGAAAGGAAGAGCAGAATGGGAGGGGTGGTGGTAAAATTATGTTCAGCAAACATCAAACACTGCCATATGCAAGGTTCTATACTCTGAACTGTTTGTGTTTAGGTAAATGCAGATATAATCTCTTCTACAAGGGAATTGAGTTTTACCAGGCATGGTGGCTCACACCTGTAAGCACTCTGTGAGGCCAAGGCAGGAGGATTGCTTGAGCTCAGGAGTTCAAGACCAGCCTGGGCAAGAGCGAGACCTTGTCTCTCCTAAAAATAGAAAAATTAGCCAGGTGTGCAATTGTGGCATGCAACTGTAGTCCCAGCTAGTTGGGATACTTGGGAGGCTAAGGCAAGAGAATTGCATGAGCCCAGGAATTTGAGGTTGCAGTGAACTACAACGATGCTACTGCATTCTACCCAGGGAAACAGTAAGACTCTGTCTCAAAAAAAATTTTTTTTAAAAAGGGAATTCAGTTTGGTAGAAGAGAAAATATCAGCACAGACTTTCTAATTTTTTAAACAACAACAATGGAAAATTCTACAGCCCCTGTAGCTACTCCTACCCTAGGTCTCTTTTCTCTTCCTCAGCTAGAGTTCCTCCCAAGAGACCTCTACATCCTTTGTGCCCCAGTCTTTCCCCCAGCAGGGCCTGGCACATAGGAGGAGCTCAGTGAAAATATTATTGACTAAATGAATGGTTAAACACAGGTAAGAATACAAAATGTTATGTAGTTCAGAAGAGGAAGAGATCATATGGCTGTTAACAACATTCATTTGATAAATTGGTGTTGGTTTTTTTACCCTAATAAAATGAAGTCGAAGGTTGTGAACCAGGTTATCTTAAAGTTTTTTTTTTGTTCTTTTTTGAATGCCTGAATGCAGAAAAATGCAGGTGACTTTGATGGCTTGTATAACAAAGTTCAGTCATCTAAAAGAATTGTCCTAACAGGGGTCTGGTTGTCTTTTTTTTTTTTGAGACAGAGTCTCACTTCGTTGTCCAGGCTAGAGTGAGTGCCGTGGCGTCAGCCTGGCTCACAGCAACCTCAATCTCCGGGGCTCAGCGATCCTACTGCCTCAGCCTCCCGAGTACAGGCATGTGCCACCATGCCCAGCTAATTTTTTGTATATATATTTTTAGTTGGTCAATTAATTTATTTCTATTTTTGGTAGAGACGGGGTCTCGCTCAGGCTGGTTTCGAACTCCTGACCTTGAGCAATCTGCCCGCCTCAGCCTCCCAAAGTGCTAGGATTACAGGCGTGAGCCACCACGCCCGGCCTCTGGTTGTCTTTTGTTAAAAAAGATTTATAATCAACTTCACTGTTTATTCATGAACAGTGCAGTGTTTCTGAAATGTTTAAGAATAGCTTAGTACTTTCCTTATTTCTCTGGAAATATTATTTACACTAAATTAAATTTTGCATGTGCCATTAACTTTGTGATATAATCAGTACATACATAAGTGCATTAAAAAGTGGTTTTTACTGAGTATTAACAGATTTCTAAGCAGAAATAAACGTTAGCTTCTTAGGCAGGCAAATGAACACAAATTTCAAATCTATAATTTTGAAAACCTAAAAGGTTATTTACTTGACCATCTTCAGGAATATATCTGGTGGTCACACATTGTTCACATGGTGTGCGATGAATAGCCAAAACATCTCGGAAGGTTTACCTTTTTGGAAAAACTGTATGAACAACACTGGAGGGGTTTTGAATAGTAGTAACAACAGCCAGTATTTTATTAGTACTTGTTCTACATCAGGTCAATGAAATGTGTCTAGTCCTTGCAGCAATCCTGTGAGGTAGTTTTATCCTATCATGGAATCTATGGCTATTGTTCTACCACTTGTAAGTGGCAAGCTGGAAGTGTGGCTAAATTATGAGTTAAGTTAATTTATGATTGCTATTTTTCAACTTAAACAGTCTATTTAAGTATGTCTAATCTGACAATAAACTAAAATTTGGCCCAATTTTGGGCATTTGATGTAGTACAAGGAAAAAAGCAATATGAATTCAACACTAGAAGTGTTCTAAGGACAAGAATCAAAACCCTGAAAAAGAAAATATAATTCTAGGACACTAGCCATCTCTACAGTGAATGATATTTATGGAGTTATAATAATATAAATGCAGTTTATAACTTTATAAATTTTAGAAACCAAGAGGGTAGACATAGCACAGAAGAGTTCATTATGACGATAGAACAAATGTAAAGCCTGCCTTGACCATGTAAAATTAAAAGCTCAGCTTACCAAAGTTGGAAAATTAAAGGATGTTTCCAGTCCAGTGCCTAGCATATTTTAGGTGCTCAACAAATATTTTCTGAAGGAGTCATTGGCTTTTGCCGTCTCTGTCCCACCTTCAAACCATACATTTCAAAGTACACAATAACTTGGTTATCTGTGTCACCATAGCAGTGGATGATCATTGATTGCTTAGAGATGTCAGAAGTTATGCATGTCCTCTAAGAAGTGTATTTGGCTTCTTCACTACTGAACTGTTTCTTTGCTGAATCATTTCTCTGGAAGATACATGCTTTTTCTCAGTTCAATAATTCTGGGTCAGTATTTTACATATTTCTGATCCTTCAGTAACACAATAATACTATTTCTCATTTGGATATAGGGAAATACCCACGTACGTGAAATAATGTAATAGCTCACATAATTGTGCTTTTTTTCCAATCTGGTTGAAAGGACGGGACTAAGCACATGGACTGGAAATTGGAAGGGAATACTCAGAAAACAGAGTCACCTGTGCTGCAGGGGCACGAAGGCATCTTAGAAGACACAGGTGCAAATGGAATCTCTGAAAGCTTCCAGCTTCTGCAGATTGATGTGGAATGTGAGTGCCAGGAGGGAGAGACCCTACCCACAGGCAATGCAGCATGGTGCTCGGTGAGTACAGTGAGTTGCTGGCCATGGGCCGTCACAGATAGAATGTCCCAGAGACCCCTGTTCTAAAGGTAGATACCGATAATAAAAAGAGACTAGGATTGAGTTTTTTGTATTTTAAGTGGTAATTTCCTGCTAACTGGTTTAAAGTTTTAGTTCCATTTGAATCATAGGAAAAGTAAAATTCAAAAGGAATTTTTGATATACCTCAGAAAGGTCCAGAAATCTAAACTCTACTTTAGGCCCTGTCCCTAATGAATTTACTGTGTGACCTGAGCAGGTCACATCTCTTTTTCTTGGGTTCTGTTTTCTCTAAACACAATCCTGTTTAGGTTTGTTTTTAAAACTAATATCCTTTTTGTTTCCTAACTTTATATATAAATGAAAAAATAAGTAACTGTTCCTAATATTCATTTTCCTTTTTGGTGCTTATGAAGTTCTCAAACAATTTTGTTTTCTGGATAACATAAGAAAAATGTCTGGAGAAAACAGAGACACTGGGAAAAGATAATTGCAGCAAAGAAGAGCAAAAGAAAGCAAGAAAAAGAAAGAAGAAAAGCCAATCGTGCAGAAAATCCAGGTAACAATAAAGGAGATTGCCTGGACCACCACTTTTAGCAAACTGGCATCTGCATATATCTAGGAGAGTAGGAATTTTATTTAAACATATGAGAGGTAGGACCCAGTGTCTTGTTTTCTTGGGAATCAAATGTATCAAAGAAAGCAAAATTTAAGAGTTCTTTTCAAATATAAGCTAGTGAACATATGTGTTTATAAGCTCAGAGTAGAAGGAATAAAACCAGCAACAGCTAACATTTATTCAGTGCTGTGTGCTGGGTTCAATTCTGAGAATTTTACATGTATTGCCGCAAGGGGAGGTACTACTACTATTCCAATGTTTTGGTGAAGAGATTGAGGCTCAGAGATGTCAAGTAACTTGCTCAAAATAATTCAGCCAATAAATGATCAAACTGAACTTGGACTTAAACCCAGCCATGTGCTCCAGAGCCCACACTCCTTGCTACTCTGCAATACGAAAATCACCTATTGAATGAATACCTTGCAAACATTCAAGTTTCTCTTTATATACAAAGAGTACTCAGTTGGCTAGGGAGATTTATTTCTTATAGAATATTATTTCTCTGGTTTCCCACTTTTATTTCTTTGATATTTCTGCCCTAGGCATCTGCCCTCAGCACAGCAAACGTTTTCTGAGAGCTTTAACCAAAGAGAAACTTTTGGAAGCCAAACACTCAGGACCAAGACTATGTATTGATTTGAGTATGACCCACCACATGTCAAAGAAGGTAGAACATCCACTAAGCCTGGAATTCCTGCTCGCATGAGGGAGGCCCAGAAGGGTGCAGCTCTTACGAAGAATATGACCAGCTCCAGCTTCTGTGATTCTTTAGTAAACCAGCAAAAGTATTTGATTTTCTACATTGGCCTACTAAGTTCCAAGATGGCTATTGTAAAGAATCTGGAAGAAAATATACATCCTTTGTTTTAGTTTGAAAATTTTACCTTGTCTTCTGTTTTGAGCCCAACACCTTTGCCTCTCTGTTCATGGTGTCCCCAGTCTGGATGGAACCTTTCAGGTTCAGTTCTCTAGACACTAAATTTTTGGCCTTCTGCTGGGAAGAGGAATATTTGCCTAGTAGCATGTTGTGGGGAGGTTACCTGGTGAAAGGTCGTCTTGCAGAGTATGTGTTTTAATTGTTTCTTGTTTGCCCCATTGGTGAGGGAGGGATTCCCACTGTAGGGTTCTGGGAATGGCTGAATGTATGACATCTGACACTGGACAGATGACACTGACAGCAGTCTGTTGATCTCATATACTCACAGCCCAGGGGAGGAGGATACTGCCTACTACACAAGGCCACATGGGCACTGTAATTGAGAACAGCACAAACAACCAGGCACCATGGGAGGTGGACTTTGTAGTATCAAGAGAGTGAAGTGCTTCCTGGTTCCCACAGGAGGATGATTGGCCTGTTTGGATAATTCCATGGGCTGGCAGAGAACTAAAACCCACTACTCAGGGATAAACAGGAGCTAGCCTTGGACATAGCTTGATACCAAGGGTTCTTTAGAGGATTTTATCTACAGTAGCAGAGTTGGGAGGAGACCTGCAATTAGGCTATTTGAGGTCCTCCTAGTTCTCCAGAAGTCAAGGTGGCACATAATATTGGGCCTCAATTTTAGGTCTTACATCACAATATATAAATTTTAAATAAATCTCTCATGTTTTCAGACATCTCTGTTGTATGTGATACTGTTTACATGTTTTTCAGAGATAGAGGCAAACTATAGATCTGGGGTTCTTACATGGAAACTCTGAAAAGGTCAACCCCAAATTGTCTACTGTTTATATTAATTTAGATATCAGATTAAATTTAACTCAAAGTCTTTTTCTCTCTACCAAACTAATCAGGCTAAATTGTGAAACTACTTTTATGTAAGAATGTTGTCTCCAAATTAGGGTGAACAGTTATTAAGAAAACTTCCAACCCTGTTGCATCTCCTGGAGTTAGGAAGAAGGTGCCAAATTAATCAGATGGATTATAAAAATTTCTGTATAGTAATGTAACTTCTTTAATAACTTAAATAGTATAGCTACATCAGCACCAGGAAAAAAAAAATAAATAACTTAAATAGTAAGTATCACATGGTAAGATTTTAGATACAAGATAAAATGACAATTTCATATACTATATTAAACATATAATAGTAGGGCCAGCAGGAGGTAGAATTCCCAGTTTTTCTGCTATTTCTGGCCTGGTATCATTTTCTTGACTTTTGTCTGTGAGATGTGATGCCATAGAGTGTAACAAACCCTCATACACACATGTACTTCTAGTTCATGAGATTTTCTGTAGTAGTAGTCAGTGAACTTACTGCGTAACCATTTGTTGATAATGAATTTAGAGTGAGTTGGTATGTTTCCACCCTGAGTTGTCCTTATTTCTTTGAAGGAATTAAGTAGACTGGCTGGACAGATCCGAAGGTTGTATGGGTCTAACAAAAAAGCTGACAGGCCATTTTGGATCTGTCTCACTGGATTCACAACAGACAGTCCCCTGTATGAAGAATGTTTAAGGATGAATGATGGATTTTCTGGTTACCTGGTAAGTCTCTTTTTGCATATTATTTGAATTGTCATCTGGAAAGTAGTTATGAGGTAATAGTAAATTTCTTTTACTTTTTCATCTCTTGATGTAATATATATATAAAGTATATGTTTTCACTATTGCAGTCTAAAAAAATTTCAGAACCTCTCAGTTCTTCATTTAAAATTTTGTTCATCCTCCTGTTGCATTTACAAACTAGTATGATCAGTATCTAGGACTGTATTTTGTATCCTGTGTATTTTATGCTAGACTTTATAATCTGGGGATGTTTTGAGGAAATGCCATGACTCCTTTCTTGTTCTCAGTAGTGGTGAATTAGGAAACATGAGTTTTGGGGGAGGAGAAAGAATCCCTGTAGAAGTAATGTGGTTTAAGATGAGTTTTAGAAAGTACTGAGGCACTTTTTAATTCTTTCTTTAGGATCTCCTAAGTATAGTGATAGATATACAGGCAAGAATCCAGATCAGTTTCTGAGAATATCATTAAAGATGTATATGTAGCTGAGATTGAGCAGTTGTGGGCTTCCCTGGGGAGATCCAGGGAAGTGATGAGTGTGAAGGGTATATTGTGCGGTGCTGCACGGCTAGCTATGTTCTTACTATCTTAACAATCTTTCCTGTAGTGCATCCATTTCCAGCTTTACTTCTCTATATTTTTTTTTTATGATTTGTGTATGGAAGCCAAACAGACCCTCTTACTGGGCAGGCCACATAGTTCCTTTGCTTTTCTGTCTTTATGCCTTTCTTAGGTGATTCCCTCCACTTTGCTTTTGGTATGTGTCACTCTCATCTCTTTTCAGAAATCCAGATACAGAAAGTCCCTTCACCAGAAGACCATCCCTGGTGGTGTTACTCCCTCATCTGTAGTCCTGAGCATGCTGCCTGTTCCTCTACTAGAACCCCATATCACTTTCTCTCTCATTTTGTAGGTTTGGATGTCTGTGTCCTTTTTTTTTTTTTTTTTGACAAAGTCTCACTCTTGCTCTGGCTAGAGTGCTGTGGTGTCAGCCTAGCTCACAGCCACCTCAAACTCCTGGGCTCAAGCAATCCTCCTGCCTCAGCCTCCCAGGTAGCTGGGACCACAGGCATGGGCCACCACGCCCAGCTAATTTTTTCTATATATTTTTAGTTGGTCAATTAATTTCTTTCTATTTTTAGTAGACACAGGGTCTCGCTCTTACTCAGGCTGGTCTTGAACTCCTGAGCTCAAACGATCCTCCTGCTTCGGCCTCCCATAGTGCTAGGATTACAGGCATGAGCCACCGAGCCTGGCCTTTGTCTTCTTATTTTCCCTCCTGACTGAGTACTTTCTGAGAAGAAGCTCAGATATACAGCCTCTTGATATTCCTAGAGCCATGTCTCATAGAAACTAGAAGCCCAGTAATTAGTTATTGAATTGTGGGCTATGTTTTAACTTAGTTCCCACTACATTGAATTCTTTGCATTTTCCAGCTAGACATAACAGAAGAAGACTGCTTTAGTTTATTTCCTCTGGAAACCCTTGTTTACCTGACTCCAGACTCAGAACACGGTATGTAGTCCTGCATGAATTCATGTAGCACTTTGTTCCTAGATCTTTGTTTCATTATTCCCTGTGGCAGAATTTATTAAAACCACTCAAGAAGTGTCCCACCCCCACCCTACTCCCCCCAAAATGGAAATGAACATGAATTGTACCCTTCCTATGGACAGGTGTCTCACTGGATGCTGCATAGATTTAGGATTTCCATCTTCATTTGGACCTTGTGTACTGCCTGATGATCCTTCCCAGTTGCCCTGGTCAGCTGCCCTCATGGCCCTTGTGGGGCCAATGTTAGATACATATTTTTACTAGAAAGTAATCTGTTTCATATAATTTTCAAATTTATTGGTATTAGTTGATCATAATATTTTCTTTTAATTCACATTTGTCTCTAGTTTTAATTTTGTTTTCTTTCTGAATCTAATGTTGATTTGGGTCTTTTTTGTTGATTAGATGTGTCAATAGTTTATTTTTTTGGTCATTTCAGAGAGTTAGCATTTGGTTTTATTGAGCACATATATCTTTTTGTTTTCTATTCATTAAGTTTCTACTTTCATTAATAATTCTTTCTTTTCTTTGGACTTAGAAATTATAAACAGACTTGACCTCAATGTCCTTCATTTTTTCATTAGCTCTTGAAGATGTTGATCTAAACAAAGTTTACATCCTTGGTGGGCTTGTGGATGAAAGTATTCAGAAGGTAAGTATACATTTCAGCCCCTACATCTATATTTTGAAAAGTAGTGCTTATTTTTAGAGGCCCTTTTGCTGTCATACTCTCGTCCAGAAGGCCTAGGAACTCAGAAGGAACAGGAAGAAAGAGCCTATTTCCCCCAGGCTGGCCCTGCCACCTGTGACACCTCCTCTCTCTTCAGCAGTGTCAGTGGTCCTGAGCCTGAATGAAGAGTCAGGAATTAGAATGAGTACCGTTTGCTAATTATATAAATAGTTGAGCTTCTTTCTCCTCTCCTTACTTCTGCAAGGATAACTCTGATCTTGACCAAGTAAGCATTGGCTCAGCATGCTTACCAGCTGTTTGTTCTTTGAGAGAAAATAGTTTGCTACTTCTTTGGCCTACCTCCCTGCTGATATATTCTTATCCTGAAACCTCAAACTCAGAGGATTGTCCAAATTTCTTTTGTTGGAGTTTTACTGGAATAATTGGGGTGTCACTGGATTTTTGAAATGTTTCTATTACATAAATATTTGTTGAGATATTTGTTTATATATACTAATTAACATACATTGCATAGATAATCAGTTAACTAATGATATAATAGTTAAATGTACAAAAAAGAGTACAGTGAAAAATAAGTCTCCTTCCCACCTTTGACCCCTAGTCCTCCTCACCTGAGGCAACCACTGTCAGGTTTTCTTGTATACCCTTCTTAATGTATTATGTGATCACATATGTCTTTGTGGGTATATTTTACATATATGTGGGCGTGTTTTATATATTTTTTTCATATATGTATATATAAAACATTGGTGTTCCATGACTCCATAGTGATAATCGAAAAAATGAGGAGTCTCTTACAGAAGAATGATAGCCAATAAATGAGGAATGCATAATAGAATTAGAAAATCATCATTTGTCACTCCCAGTGTCATTATTGATTCAGACAACTGATTGTGAATGAAAGGTTGTGGAAGAACTGGCTATTTACATGGTCTCAAGGTATCACCCTACAAAGACAAAAATTAACATTACAGTGAAACAATCTGGTGGTCACCATCTTATCCAAACTTGATCAAATTTAGCATCACCAATAGAGACACAATCTGTGCCTCCTGCTGTGATCTTGTCTATGAAGTATTCTTGCTACACAGTGTTTAAACTGAATTTAATCATGAGGAAACAGACAAATCCAGAATATGGGACATTCTGCAAGACAATTGGACTGGATTTTCAGAAAAGTCAATGCAATGGAAACTAAAACAGGCAGGGGACTGTTTTAGACTAAAGGAGGCTAAAAATAATAGCCAAATGCAGTATGTGAGCCTTAATTGCATTCTGTATTGAGAGGGAAACTTTATAAAAGATATTTTTGGAAAAGTTGAGGAGATTTTAACACAGACTTGTGTACTAAGTGAAATTATGGAATCACTAAATAAGTTTCTTAGAAATGCTATTGTAGTAAGGTAGAAGAATGTCATTGTTCTTAGCTGCATGCATAAGTATTTAGTGATGAAGTATTGTGATGTTTCAAATAGTTCAGCAAAATATGCATTTATATACAGAGAAAGAAAAGCAGATTTGATAAAATGTTAATAACTGGTGAGTCTAGATGACGGCAATGGGTATTGATTATATTATTCTTTCAACTTTTCTCAGGTTTGAAATATTTCAAAATAAAAAGTTTGGGAGGGGGGAGTTAGCCTTATTGCAGAGTACAGTATCAGCACTTAACCTGTGTGTTATCACCCTTCTCCTGTAGTGGGGTGATGGCCCCTTTTTCGAGGTGGTGAAGTTCAGAGAGTCAGTGAGCAGTGTATGATTTATAGATGTACAATTTTAACACATTGTGTTCTTTTCTCTCTCCACCAATATTTAAACTGAAAAATAACTGGTACAAAGTTTGTCAGATACATAGAACTTTTTGGTTGTTATTGGAGAATTTGGTTTTTTCACAGGAATAAGCTAAGAACAACATTTCTTCAAAGAGAGTTATTTTATCTTTAAATGTGCAGAGAACAGAAACTAGACCGTAAGTGCCTCCAGGTCAGCATCCAAATATCCTACTAATGTTGAATTTGGTACTCTAGTTCAAAGTGATTATAAAGGAATAAGACTTTTTTAAAAAAACAAAAAACAAACATAGCTCATATATACCAAGGAATGTTATCCTTTCAAAGAAATCCTTTGAGTAGCCGTACCCTTGTCCCATCGGAATTGCATCACTTAAAACATTTTTGGAAGTTCTCTCTTGGAATTGTGTTTCCTGTGAGTCTGAGAGGCAGGTAATCCAGTATCAGTACAAAACAAGTGCTAGGCCTGCTTCACACTGTTCCACTTGGTTAGACCACACTCATGATGGCCAGTCAGTTATGGGACTATAAATGAAAGGACATGGACTAGCTAGAACAAGTATAGAAGAGCTAGCCCTGACTGATAAAAGGACTTGAAACTAAGTCATAATGAAAGAGTTGACAGAACTGAGACTGTAGTCAGGGGACCAGAGTATTCACAGGGGCATGATCACTGCCTCCCAGTATCTGAATGGCCATCTCGTGGAAGGGCCATTTTATTTGCATGGTGTGGCCCTGGGGGAATAGAATTAGGATGAATGAGTAGAAGTTCCAGAAAAAAAAACAAAAACAGAAGAATTTCCTATCAACCAGTGTTGTCAGTGTTGGAATGGGTTGCTCCAGGATACATGAACTCCTTTGTCACACATTGTCCATTGAGAGGCCAGGTGGCCACTTAGAAGTTATAGAGCATATACAAAGATTGGACGGGTGGTTAGAATGGGATAGTTAACACTGTTGAGAACCCTTCCAAACCTGAGCATGTTAATTATCCCTGTAATCTAAACCTGTGTCTTTAATCCTGAAATCTTAGGTAAAAAAATATTTCCTGTGCTTCTTACAAGGTAGCAAATGTAATTTAAACTTTAGTTCATAAGTTGGGCATCTTACATAGGAGCACTTCCTTTTAATTGGACTGTCTGTTCTCACACTTTAATGCCACTTATTACAGTGGTGTACCCATCTTGAATCCTGTTTCTAATTTGCTGCTACCAATTGGCAATGAGCTGGAAGTTCCAGACATCCAGCATTGGGTCTTACTGAGTTAGGGCCAGGAGCATTCTGATTGGTTAGGCCACTTGTGCCTTTTGATGCTGATTGTGGCTGCACATGTGCCTCTTCTGTGTACTTCCCTCTTGGTTGTAAGTGGTAGTGAGTGGAGGCTCACCTTCAAAAAGTGAGATGTTGCCACACAAGCCCTTTTGTACTTGGGACAGTTGTTCTTCATTATCTGTTGCCTGTTTTGTTCTAGTAGGCTTCTTATTTTTAATGTGTTTATCCTTTAATTATGATTATAGATGGAATTGGAGCAGTGGGAAATAGGGATTCTTACAATTATTTATAATAAAAGTATATAACTGTGATTTACAGAAGGTGACATTTCAAAAGGCCCAGGAATACTCTGTCAAGACAGCCCGCTTGCCAATCCAGGAATACATGGTCAGATGCCAAAATGGGAAAAACTATCATTCAAAGATATTGGCCATCAATCAAGGTACTACTCACATGGCCACCATCCAACGTGCTAGTTCTGGTACTGCTGCTATGCATTATGTTGAAGTATAAGTGGCCTTTGAATCAGCCTCCTTTGTGAGAAATGTGCTTGGACTTTATTATGTGCACTTTGTGACATGTATTCTGGCCACTGAGAGGCATTCTTCATTTTAGTCTTGGTCCCCAACTACGTTAAAGATAGTTGAGGCCAGGCGTGGTGGCTCATGCCTGTAATCCTAGCACTCTGGGAGGTCAAGGCAGACGGATTGCTCGAGGTCAGGAGTTCGAAACCAGCTTGAGCAAGAGCAAGACCCCGTCTCTACTATAAATAGAAAGAAGTTAATTGATCAACTAAAAATATATATACAAAAAAATTAGCTGGGCATGGTGGCGCATGCCTGTAGTCCCAGCTACTCGGGAGGCTGAGGCAGGAGGATCACTTGAGACCAGGAATCTGAGGTTGCTGTGGCTAGCTGACACCATGGCACTCACTCTAGCCTGGGCAACAAAGTGAGACTCTGTCTCAAAAAAAAAAAAGATAGTTGAAATTGTCCCCTTGACCTAGAATGCCCTACCTTCAACCCCTCATTAACCAATGAATTCCTATTTGTTCTTTAGGGTTCAGTTTGGGGACACATTGGCTGGCTTCCCTCTGCCACCCAGGCCACGTCAGGGCCTTTTGTGTTCATATTTTACTGTGTTCCTCTCTGTTGCACATTGTCCATTCAGAGGCCTATGTCTCAGTGCAGGCTGGAGTCCTTGAGAGCAGCCAGGGCCTGTGTCTTTGCCTCTCCCCCAGGACCTGGTACCAGGTGTGCAAGATAGGTTTATTGAATGAGACATTCTAGAACATCCTTTTCCTTCTTAGTCATTTACTAGTCTTTTTTTTCTGCATGGTCACTGTGTTTTCTGTTCACTCTCTAACAGTGTTTGATATCCTGTCTACTTACTTTGACACTCACAACTGGCCTGAAGCATTGAAGAAAGGAGTTTCTTCAGGAAAAGGCTACGTTCTTCGGAATTCAGTGGAATGACAGGCAGTTGCAGGAGTGAAGTGCTGGCAGTGCCTTGTCCAAAGAGCAGGGCAAGAGGGTGGCAGTGGCACACACTTGCCTTTACTTGACATCTTGAATCTGCAATAAGCTACTAATGACAGGGACCATATTTTATGCTATTTTGTATCTCCCATAGTGCCTGGCTCACGGGAAGTGCCCAGATATATGTTAAGTTAAAAAGGTTTATGTAACAAGGAATTAGCCCTAAAACCACATGGCTTTGTTAGTGTTAATTCACCTTTTGTACATCTATGTCTTTGTGAAAGACCTACTCTTTGGAGATTAACTAATAAAATAATTATTATTATATCAAGAGTTTAATTTTCACTGAACTAGCATCATTAAATTGTATGACTTTCTCCAGACTCCTCTGATCGTGCTAATTTTTTCTCAGCTCAGTAATATGCTATACATAAGACTGGCAGATCAACCTGACCTGACCTATCCCTACTTTGAGTCCCCATAGTACTTTGTTTCCTCCTATGGCTCTTACCTTCTTCTCCCTTGCTGTGAGTATGGGCATGCAGGACTTTTCTCTAACGGTAGGATACTAACAGGACAATTTATGTGAATATCTTTGTATCCTCTGAGCCTTGTACAAACTATATTCTTCATATATATATATTTATAATTAACAGATAAAACTGTAAAGCCAAAATACAGTATTGCTATGTCCACTTTGAAAATAGCCATAAAATGTTACATTTTGACACATTAGCATGTTAGATAACCTACCTCTTACTAGACAAATCTCATTCCTTTTCTTGTGTCCTAGATATACTTGCTTCAGCTACTCTTGCCAGTTTGGGTTAATTAACTTGCTAGTTCAGCTGCTAGCAAATTCAGAAAATATATTCTGTATCTCAGAAGAACCAAAAGATTACATCTCTGCTCTGTCCCCTCCCCTTCATAATTTAATCCCTGGGGAATTCTGACTACCTGATAGACTATTACTTTTTTGAGGTCTTTTTAGCCCTTGTGGACTTCATAGTGGACTTCATAATACTCCTTGGGCCTTATCAAAGTACTGAATACGTTTTATAATCTCTTTCATCCAAAGGGACTTTCTACGGATAGGCTTCAGGCAATCTGTATCTCTCACAGCCTCAGACATCTATGAGCCCAGAACCCAGACCTGGATCATCTACCAGTCTTCATTTTTACTTCTAAAGGCTTTGCTTAATATACTAAATACCATGGAAGAATTTCCTTTCCAACTTTATCACAAAGCTCTCCCATTTATCCAAAACCTGAGCAGGGAGTCTTTTGTTTAGCTTCTAAGAAATGATTTTAGCAAAATAAGATTTGGCCAGATTTAGAATTAGAAATCCTCATCATAGCGTTATACATGTAACAAAATAGGAATATATCCGATACACCCTATAACATGAAAATGAAATATGCAACTACTGAATTTTTAATAGCAATTGTGGAAGGACTGTCATAGGCTGTTTCAAATGGACCAAGTATAATACAAAGGAGCACAGAAGATATCCTATAATTCTAATTTGAAGCATATATACATAGACATATAGTAGTTGAGACTATGGGCCAAGTTAAGTTCTGTGCTTCAGTTTCTTCAACTATGAGGATAAGTGTCTTTTACATTTGCATTTATTAAGAATAAATGATTTATTCCATGCAAAACATTCAGAATAATACTTGGCACATAGTAAACACACAATAATTATTAGTTGTTACCACCCACTGAATAATGGGATTATAAGTGGCTTTTATTTGCTGCTCTATACTTTTTTGTGTATTCTACATTAACTTTGGTGAACATATTTTACTATTATAATCAGAAAATATTTTAATACTGACTTTCAGTTCATTATAGAAGTTGCACTCTAGCAAAACTAAGGAAGTTAATGCTACCCAAATAAATTATAACTTTTTAGTAAACTTTATTGTACAGAACAAAAAACTACATCATGACTCTATAATGATTTTCTCTCCCACAAGAGCATGTGTGAAAAATCAGCAACTTACAAAAATATTTTATTTAGGACTGTAATAAGAGAGTATGCACATTCACGTTTGTCTTCTGAAGATTTAAAAGGGAGAGGTTCAATGAAAAAAGTTTTCCCCAGGAAACTTAGTTTCTTGGCTCAACTGACCCATTAAAAAAGTCCACATAGATCAACTTTCTGCCAATCTGGAGAAGATTTGTTTTCTTTGATCTGTTGTCATGTGTTCACAAGCTTCCAAAATGTTTGCCAAAATTAAAGTCTGTTGAATGGTTTTTGCCTTAACCCATATTCTTCCATTCATTCCAAACACTATCTCCAGTGGATAGAGTTTTCCCACTTCCTGTATGATTTCACAGTCTGGAGCTAACAGCCTGGTGGGAGAGAGGAAAGAAAATGCAATTAAATAAAGTGGTAAAGGTGTATCCTGACTCTCTCCTTTAGAAGGAGATTCTTCTGGGTAGTTCTCCAGTTATTCAAAGCCCTACCAACATCATTCCAAGAACAAGGAACATGGTGACACTGGCTGTTCCCTTTCTTCCAAGAAGCTTTACACTTTTCTTTGAGACAGGCTAGAGAGAGTGCCATGATGTCAGCCTAGCTCACAGCAACCTCAAACTCCTGGGCTCAAGCAATCCTGCTGCCTCAGCCTCCCAAGTAGCTAGGACTACAGGCATGAGCCACCGTGCCCGGCTAATTTTTTTTCTATATATATTAGTTGGCCAATTAATTTCTATTTATAGTAGAGACTGGGTCTTGCTCTTGCTCAGGCTGGTTTCAAACTCCTGACTTCAAGCAATCCGCCCGCCTTGGCCTCCCAGAGTGCTAGGATTACAGGCGTGAGCCACCGCACCCGACCTACACTTTTCAAAGGTATACTAGAGGTCACAATGGTGGGCTAGTCCCTACAAAGAAATCAAATTCCCTATGCTAACAACTTTGCAAAAAACGTACAAAGTTCTTCCCTTAGATCAGGCGTCCTCAAACTATAACCCATGGGCCACATGCAGGTGTTTTTGCCCATTTGTTTTTTTACTTCAAAATAAGATATGTGCAGTGTGCATAGGAATTTGTTCATAGTTTGTTGTTTTTTTTGAGACGGAGTCTCACTTTGTTGCCCAGGCTAGAGTGAGTGCCATGGCATCAGCCTAGCTCACAACTACCTCAAACTCCTGGGCTCAAGCAATCCTGCTGCCTCAGCCTCCCGAGTAGCTGGGACTACAGGCATGCGCCACCATGCCCGGCTAATTTTTTTTTTTATATATATATCAGTTGGCCAATTAATTTCTTTCTATTTATAGTAGAGACGGGGTCTCGCTCTTGCTCAGGCTGGTTTTGAACTCCTGACCTTGAGCAATCCGCCCGCCTCGGCCTCCCAAGAGCTAGGATTACAGGCGTGAGCACAGCACCCGGCCCAAACTAATTCTTAAAATCTGCAGGATAAGTAGCAAAGAGAGGCATACCAGCTAGCTCTGAACTTAAGTGGCTCTCGTGGTAAAGCCCTTCAATATGGCATAACTTTGGGGAGGTAAAATTCTAAACACCTAATAGAGAATCTGCCTCAATGGGAACTATTAAGACAGAGTGGCAGGAACCTTCTGTGAATGTCTATAGTAGCTAGAGGATCACGTCAACCTGGCTGCATTTGGCCACATTAGAGAAATTTGATAATTTTGTACAATTACAGATTGTATCTATATTCAAGTAACTTAGAATGTGGAGAAAGGCCAGTTTTCACATTTGGGCTCAGTATGTCAGCTAAGGAACAGGCCTGAGAAAGAAGACATGCACAGGACAGAGTAAAAGCTTCAAGTGTAAAGTATTAGAACACCAGAAACAACACCAAAAACCACAGCCAAATACACTTGAATTTGATATATTTACATTACGATAGAACTAAATTCATGAGTTTACAAATGTCTCAAAATGGACATTGCTTTTTAACTTTGAGGAAAAATTCAGATGTTGTTACAAAGAATCCAAATACCAAAGATTAATCAGCTTTCCAAGAAGGTATAATTATAAAAGGCAGCAGGCATAAGGACTTACTTTCTAATTAGGCCCAACGTCACTTTAAAAAGCAGGCCATCGTGTCCAATCACACCCATTCCATTGGCTCGTCCACAGCTGTCAATACAGACCATCTCTGGTTCCATATCCTTATTAGCAACGACAAATTGGCCATAGATGAGATCTCCAACCTACAATGATATTAAAAACCAGTTCATTTCCTCTTCACAAACCATTCTACAGGTGCTGCTGTTGGTTCTTTCTCACAGGCAGCAATGTCAGCCAACTATAGTTCTATAGCTAAGGGGTTGACTACACCATGGATTCCCACAGTCACTCTGGAGTTGAGTCTTGAAAGAAGACAAAATTAACACATGTACCCTCCCCCCTCTTCACCAACCAGGAAATCCTCAGACTAGGAGCCATCTCAAGGCCACAGAACTCCAGGGTTGCACTGTCCACTATGGTGGCTAGTACCCACATGTAGTTATCTAAACTTATATTTAATTAAAATTAGATGTTTAAAATTCAGTTCCTCAGTTGCATTAACCACATTTAAAATACTCAATAGCTAGCAGCTGCCATACTGGTGGGTGCAGATATAAAACAGCACCATCATAGAAAGTACTATTAGATAGCACTACTCTAGAGAATCATTGTAGATTTACATACAGAGGAAGGAACTCCTGGCATGTAAATTATTCAATGCAAAATGGAGCAATGGTAATTCACTGACACTTTTCCATAAAAGATGTACTTAAAAACTGATAGAGCTAAAATGATGAAACTGGGGAAATGGAGAGTGAACTTGTGTTCACTCAAGAAAGCATTTATTAAGTACCTTCTGTTTGTTGGTGACTAAAGAAACTAGACAAGAACAAAACATTCTCTAGCTTATAGAAGCATTTGGTTTTGGAAGGGCAGAAGGGATGAACATATAAACAGATTTCATTCAAGGCTAAATCCAGTAAGTGCTACAGCCAAGATATAAGAAAAGTGACAAATGGGGATGTCTTTACAAAGGTGGTTGTGTTTAGTCTGAGTCTCAAAGGATGAGTGTGTGTTTTGCAGTTTAAGAAGGGATAGTGCTGTAATCCTAACAAACTGGGAGGCCAATGCAGGAGGATTGCTTGAGGCCTGGAGTTCCAGACCAGCCTGAGCAAGAGCAAGACCCCATATCTACTAAAAATAGAAAAAATTAGCCGGGTGTGTTGGCACGCCTGTAGTTCCAGCTACTCTGGAGGCTGGGGCAGGAGTTTGAAGTTGCTGTGAGCTAGGCTGATGCCATGGCACTCTAGTCTGGGGGACAGAGAAAGACTCTTGTTTCAAAAAACAAAACAAAAACAAAAGAGAAGGGATAGTGCAATCCAGGTAGAGGGAACAGCAAGAGCAAAGTACAAGGGCAGGAAATCTGAGTTCAGTGGTGTCTGGTATGGTTCAACCATAGCTGAATGAAGAATATAATTATAAATGAGGGAACCCCTCCCTCCCAGTATTATGCCAAGGAATTTTGTAGGTTTCAAAGAATCTTGTTTTTTTGAGAAAGGGAGTGAGTATATCCACTCTCAAAAGCCTGGATGGAGAGATAAAAGTGTGATGGTAGGGGCCGGGCACGGTGGCTAACGCCTGTAATCCTAGCACTCTGGGAGGCCGAGGCGGGCGGATTGCTCAAGGTCAGGAGTTCAAAACCAGCCTGAGCAAGAGCGAGACCCTGTCTCTACTATAAATAGAAAGAAATTAATTGGCCAACTAATATGGTGGCACATGCCCAGGAGTTGGAGATTGCTGTGAGCTAGGCTGACACCATGGCACTCTAGCCCGGACAACAGAGTGAGACTCTGTCTCAAAAAAAAAAAAAAAAAAAAAAAGTGTGATGGCAGGGATGTTAATAAGGAGGTGACTGAGTCCAGTCAAAAGGGAGGTAATGCCTGAAATTACAAAGTGGAGATAAAGGGATGGACATGCAAGAGATCAGTGACAGAAATCAAATAGGGTCAAAATAGGATTAAGCAACTAAAGACACATGAGAAATGAATGAGAAGGGACAAAGAAACCACCAAATTTCTGGCTTGGGCAGACAGGAAGAATGTCCTGAAAAGTCCAAATTGAAAACCCAAGGTAACAAGATTATTCCTGTCAGTTCCAAGGACTTACAACCAGGATGGATGAATGGATGGCTGATAAGGTCACTTTGCACCACTTGTCCCTCCTCCGTCTCTAAGCCTATAGTTGACTTCCTTGTCCAGTGGATATAGAAATAACTGATAACAAAGGAGATGACAGATGTAACCTTTCAATTAAGTACCAAGGAAACATCCTAAGAACCAATGTAACAAATGTAATATAAGTAGGTAGCCCCAATTCTGGAGCTGGACAATCTGAAGAAAGTCTTAGAGTCCGGGGCGACTGCACAGATGCTGAGAGATTCTAGGTCATGCTTTGGAGACAATTCAGGTAGCCTTCTGGATATATGAGTGTTCTAGGGAATCAATGTTTTTCTTACTTTCAAAACCAAAGGTTCCCATTATTACCTGCACATTTGGTCTGTTTCTTTTAGTTGCACCTTCAAATGCCAAGTAAGACAAAGAAGCTGGCTCACTCCCTCCAACATCAACTTTGAATATATCTCCAGATTTAGCTGTCACTATGCCAATCACATGGTCTCCTTTCACTGGAACATACTACAAAAGAAAATAGAAGGATAATAGTCATAAATGACATGATACGATTGTAAGGTATCTTCAGCAAGTCCTTTATTGCCATTAAAGAGATGTTTAGAAGATATTTTGAAGTCCAAGTATACAAATTAATACAAACTTTATAAAAAATTTGATCATATGCCACTTTCAGTAAAAGAAAATCACACCATAACTCTCAGGACCGCAGCTTCTAATAGTCTGTTAATTTGAGCCAGGATCCCATACCTCTTCAGCATCCTCAACATTAAGTCCCTAGCTTCTGCTGTGTCCTGGGCACAAGGATCCTTACAATCAGGGTACCCCATTGCATTGTGACACAATTTTTCCTTGTTCGTATTTAAATTAGACTCCCTGTGACATCCACTCATTTAGCCCGCTTCTGCCCTCTGAGACTTCAAGGGACAAATCTGCTGCTCCCTGACCTTTGGGGTTTTGAAGACAGTATCCATAACTCGCGGTCTCCAGATGCCTTCCTCTCTTGGTTGCCCTTCTCAGGCTATGTACCTACTGTTCATGGTCCTTTTAAAGGAGATGCTGAAGTGTACCCAAGACTATAGTGGCTCTAGCCTAGCCTTAACAAAGGAGGGCTCCACGGCCCCATCCCCTCTCACTGCCGCATCACTCATCCAGAGTCCCGGCTCACCCGTTTCTGCTGCGAATCCACCCAGTAAACGCCACCGCCGCTGCCACTGCCCGGCTCCTTGTGACGGAGGCGGCCGCACTTGGTGACCAGAAGGCGGTCCCCACAGCGCCGCAAGCCCGGGCCGCACACTACGCGCACCCGCGAGCGCGCTCCAGCATTCAGGCGCAACGGTCGCTCCCCTCCACCGCCAGGGCCTTCTGCGTCCTCCTGCTCCGGTAGGAGCAGTTCCTCACCCGGGAGCACTACCTGATTTAGCACCGTGCGCGCCGCTCGCGCCCTGCCGCCCGCTAGAGATTCAGCCGCGACAGCCGCAGCTTCAGCCATCGCAGGCGCCGGTATACACGGCTTCCGGTATCTGGCTTCCGCTTCCGGCTCCGTGTCCAATCACCAGCCCTCCCAGGGCCTTCCGTTTCTGGCAGTAGCGGTCCTCTGGACTCGGACCTAAATCTTTAAGCCTAATCATCGTCAGCCCACGGGTTCCGGTTAAAGGTGTCTGTGATGTCTTTAGCCAGCCACCTATCTTGCAGTCTATCCGCGGGTCAGTATAAGAAACGCGCAGCTCGACTCCATCGAGGAGCCTCCACTTCCGGTGTCTTTCTTCGCGTGTCTTGTGACTGGTCCATCGTGGGATACAAGACGCTTCCACATAGGGTTCCATGAGATCGCTGAGCAGAGGGGCTTAGAAAATTGGACGTTGGGTGGACTCAGTGGCCCTCTCTTCCAACTCTGCCCTCGGGAGAGTGGCTGATCTTTTAACAGTAAAAGTGCTTTATTCTCAAAGTAAAAGCACTTTGGTCGATAGAGAAGATACTTACTCACGTTTGGAAAACAGAAAAGAAAATAAACATAATGTATTGGTCTTGCCCGTTTATCTTTCTTGCTAGGCTGTCTGTATAGCCAGGTTCTGGCACAAAATAGGTACTACCTGATGAATGAATGAACACAACACTTTTGGTGTGTGTTTCTCCCTAGACTTTTTCCCCCTGCAAATAAACACTTATCACAAATATATTTTCATATACTGGAACTATCCCTACAAGGCCTGAGGAAATCAGTAAATTAAATTCCTGCCGCCACTTTCCCTGGAGCACTTAGTTGCTCACTGAGAAGCAGCTGAAGTCCATATCTGTAGTACTTCAGAGCTTCCAGTCTTCTTAATTTGGGGGTTCTTATTTGAAACCACCGTTTTCTCTGTCAACTGGAACCTTGAACCAGTGATCAGATTCCTCAGCAGTGATTAGAGCTCCTGGGGTCTGGGAGGATGTGATTTTCTGTCCCATGGTCTTTAGCTGCCCTCTATTTCTGCTGGCATCTCTTTGCTGCCCCTGCTTCCAAAGTGTATTTTTAGATTTTTAAAGGATGTTTAAGACAGTCCAACTCTAATACACACTCCAAATTTGGCAAGGTGATGGCGAGCCATTTTTCCTGGGTATAATAGGAGGACAAATGAAACAAAACTTCTGTTGTTTTGCAGTCAGATTGTTGAAAGAATTGTTCTGGGTTAGGTTCCCTGGCAAGATTGGGAGTTCATGGGGCAGGGATGGTGTAAATTGTAAATCTTCCCCACTCCTGAGGTATTCAGTGACCAAACCTGCGTCGATGGTGGCTGGCTATCAATGAACTCAGGTCCCAGCCAGGCAGAGAGGAAGTTGAGGAAATGTTCCCTGGACTGCCCCTCGAGGACCCTAAGTCGGTAGTGGAATATTTGGAAGAGACTCAGCCCAGATCTTGCAGAGGAGCCCAATCAAGTCCACTTCCTTGTTGGAGTCATACTTGGAGAGTGGTCTAGCTGTCTCCCAACAAGTGACACGGGGACAGCGGGGAGGAGAGTGGCCAGAGACCAGCAGCGCGGGAAGGCAGCGCCACCGCCACCATGTCGGAACTCCGCAGCCTCAGCGTCCTGCGGCCCCGCGTGAGTGAGAGCACCAGCCTGTGGCGGCAGAAGTCCGTTTGGGTGCAGGAAGGAAACCAAGGCCACGTACGAGTTTGTGGAGTCCGTCTCCGGACTTCGGCAGCGTGCGAGCCAGTTCTGGAGTCCCCTGGGGTCGGGGTTCAAGTTTTTCCGAACAGCGCGCGATGCCTTTTCTGATTGTAAAAGTGGCCGCGGCGATTGGGGAATGAAGAGGAGGCCAGAAGCCAGCGCAGGCGGCGAGCACTATTCGCCATCTGGCCAGCACGTGGGCTTCCCAACTGATCAGCCCAGGTGGATTAGGCCCGTTCTCTGTTTTGGAAGTTTGCCCGCTTGGAGCCAATGCAGCAGAGGCCGCTCCACATTCCAGTGCCTCTGGCCTACAATTCCCCATTTCTATAATTCCCCATTTCTATTTCCCGCGAGGAAATTGCTAAATTGCCCTTAGGAAAGGTTGGAGCAGCCCGCAACCTTCCGTACTGTTTTACAGAACTTCCGCTTTAGAAATTTTTGCTAGTTTAGAGGTTGGAAAAGTGGCATCTTACAGTTGCTTTTCTTTATTGTCTGGTAAAGGTTGGCATTTTTTTCCTTTCAGACAACACCACTAGTTGAGCATTTACTTTGAGCAATAAATGGAGCTGGGGCGGCAGCTGAATCCTTGTCCCTTTTGGGGGGGGTGGTGTTCAGTCTTCACATGAAGATACCAAATGTTATGGTGGCTGCAACAACTTGAATACAGCGTCAGCCCCAAGAGTACAGAGGATGAAATGGTTATCTCTGTGTGGAAGAAAGGTTGCGGTCACGATAGGTGTCCCAAAGGAGGTGATATTTGAGTGAACCTTTGATATATTTTAGTTGACTAGTGTCTAAAGATTATAAATGAACTACATGCTGATTTATATACTGAAAATAACAGTAAAAGTTCATATTAGTATTGTTAACATATTCAAGTAGAGGATTTAATCTAAAAACATAATTGCTTATAATTATCACTGCATAAATAAGAATCTACTTGCTATAGATATTTATATAAGTTTTTATATTTTATATTCTTAGAGACAGAATCTCACTCTGTCTCTCAGGTTGGAGTGCAATGGCTGGATCATAGCCCATGGTGACCTCAAACTCTTGGCCTCAAGAGATCCTCCTGCTTCATATTTGCTACAGATGGTTTTTAATCACAAAGAATCGTTACTTCTCAAATACAGGACTTATTGTAGAAAGTAAAAGAACACATTTTTTTCTTATCAGTTACTGTTTTAAATGTGTTGGCAGTTCCATAAAATATATGACTTCCCTATTCTCACCCCCCAAATCTGAACTACAGTCTGGTATCAGCTAGATTCTTCTTTGGAATGGCATTCAGGTTTGGTTCTGGTGTATTACAGTATATAACCAAATGATTTTCTGGTTTCCAACAGCTTTGCCATTTATCTTCATTTCGAAAATAAGGAAACATCTTTCTAGTTAATATTTTCTCTCATTTTGTAGTGTGTGTGTCTGTGTCATGCCATCCTTTGTTAGGGAAGAACCCCCATCTCTTAGAGAATAGGAAGGAGGAACAAGACTCCAAAGGAAATAAAACTAAGCAAGAAAGCAGGCTTACCTACTGCAATTCCATAAGTACAAAAAGTAGATGAGGCTTGGTGGACCAGATTAAGAAATGTATTACTCTTAACACAGCAAACATCAGGAGCATCAGCATGGTAGCATGGGATGGCCTGTCTCCAAGTTCCATGGAATAAAGGCAGTGTGCCCAGATGGTGGCAACACATGCTGTAGGTTGTACCACCACTAAGGGATCCAGGTCCAAGGGCCTAGCTTCTTTTGTCACAAGCAGAAAACAAATCAGTCTCCTTTCCCTAGGGAACAAGCTGTTTCATGGTAGTTATGCTGCAGTCATACTAACCCACTTAAATGCCAATGCTACAGAAATGGTCCAGTGTCTGGGGAAAGTTAGGCCTTGTGTTTGGCACACTTAGCAAACACATGCAGGGATGCTAAAGGCCATGGCAGACTGGACTGCCTCTCCCAAGGCCTATCATCATCTGACTCCAGGTTATCTCTGCAGTGTCATCTCAGTGCATTTTCTTCACCTCTCTAAATTTGTATCATCGTAGACTATTCACCAAGGCCATGTTAGCTGTTGTATTCTAGCTACTGATTCTCTTCTTTCTCCTGCTACACTGCAAGCTTCCTGAATACAGAGAGTGCACTGACTTTGTACAGATTGTAACTGCTCAAGAAATGTAAGATGGATGAAAGAAAAAGCTTGAAATTGTGATCACTGCATATGTGTCATGTGACACTGCATTGTGTCATGATGCTATTAAGGGACTGCATTCATTGCTTTCTATGTCCAGACATAGTTGGGTCTATGGAAAAACGCAAGCTGTCTTTATCAGTCAGAATCTAATCAGGAGACAAACTACATAGCAATTTGAATAGGGAAAGTTTAATATATAAAGAATGATTATTATAACAGAACATTGAAATAATTAGGGAATAGCTAGTAAGAACTAAAGAGAGTTTGGTAAAGTATAGGAATAGCAGATATAAGGAACAGCCACTACCCCTAGTGCTGAGATAGAGCTCCCAAAGAGGAGCCCCTGCCCCTCGACCAGGGCAGACTGAGACTTTTTTGGCAAAGCATGGCCATGACTCATTGAATGGCAAGAAGTCAATGGGAATCTGCTGCTGGAACTTGTTATAAATCCACCCTCCAGCTGGCACTTTTAGGGTCCTGGGGTCTTTTGGAAGCCTCTGCCATAAAACTATCCAATAAAAGCGCTAGGAAACACTGTTAGCTGCTGGGTGTTTCTGGCCACCAAGTAAAGTAGGAGTAGATGCTTGAGAAGCTGCCATGCTGCAGGAATGTGCTAGTGAGCACACTAGGACCAGGAAGCAAAAGTCCTTCCTCCTGAAATGCCTCTCCAGGGCCTTCTATATATAAGGTTTATCATGATAGCAAAAGAAAAAATATCAAACTCATCGCTAAGGGCAATAGGGTAGTCTGCCCATTCCCAGATGGCTTCATTGGTAAAGTATACCCAAAATTTAAAGAAGAATTAATACCAGTCATTTCAAACTCTTTCAAATTAGAAGAGGAAGGAACACATCACAGCTGATTCTATGAGGCCAGTAATACCCTGATTTCAAAATCAAAGACATCCCAGGAAAAGAAATTACATATCAGTATTCCTTAGGAATATAGACACAGAACACCTCAACAAAACACTGAATCCAGCAATATACAAAAACGATTGTACACCATGACCAAGTGGGATTAATCCCAGGAATGCAAGGTCTTTTGACATCTGAAATCAGTTAATATACTATTTTAAAAGTTTTTTTCCTTTTCTTGTCTTTTATATTATATTTCAAGATCATTGAGTATATACCATCTTAATTGATGCAGAGAAAGCATTTGATAAAATCTAATACCCTGTCATGAGTTTCTTAAAAAC